CGCAACGGGATCTAATATAAAATTAACTTATCTTCGAGACCGCTGTCTCTCTCGCACACTTTGATTCCTACACGATGGGCAGACCTTGCGAATGGAAGCGAAAAGACACGTTCGAAAACACTCTCCTCAACTTACTTGTTCTAACGCAGGTGTTAAAGACGACAGACTATGTCAAGGATCCCTTGATCCTGCGATGGGCGTCCCCACCAGCCAAATTTCTTGATCTTGGCCTGGCATGGGTAACCTTAATCCCCTGGGTGCTCGAGCTGCGTCGACCTTGACTTGCCCTCACTTTATCGACGGTCGTTGACGCCCCTAACCTCTTTTCTGATTACTTATCAACTTATCATGTATCAACAAACGCTCCTCCTTTCCCGTCTCCCCTCCCCGCTCCTGCGAATGCCCTGCGGCTACGCCGTGACAATCTATATGTGTTTACGACACGCTGTATACTCTAATACGTGCGTGCGCGTTGAAACACTTGAAATGTTAACTGCAAAAAAGAATGGTGTTACGTATTTTATTGGAATCATCTTTTTTGGAGATTGTAGAGGAGACTCAATAGTTAACGGTGATGTGATATGCCTTGTAAAAATTTTTTATTTTCATACTTTGTCAATGCTCTGAAAATTGGAAAAAATGCATTTTTCAAAACTTCAGGAATTTCTTACTCAAAAACTGTGGGGTTTGGGTACGTAAGTTCCACTTGTTTTTTGTTCAAAATGTGCCAAAGAATAAGAAAAAATTTTTTTACTAAAAGAAACATAATTTTGAAATTTTTTTATAAAAATTATTAATAACTTTTTTTCTGCGTGGTTTTTTGAGGTTCCACTTTCGAAATTCTAATTCAGGAGATAAAACTGCATTTAAAAAACCTTGGTAGAGCCATAGATCTCAAAAGGCTACGGGAAACTCCCTGGCGCCTGGACTGTACCCATTCTTTTATACATAGCATGATCCATGCTGTAATAAGTTTCAATTTTTTCGGTTTTATTCTCACATCTCTTTTTCAATAGTTCAAAAGTGTATCATTCAAGAAATAAGGTCTATTTGTTGTTAAGAGTAAATATTAAGCTTTTTTTTAAATAATTCATTTTTCTACTAAAAATTTATGGGAAAATATTACTTATAAATTTATTTTAACAGTATAAAAGCTTTATTCTTCATATTTAAGTTTGTTTCCCTTTATTTAATATCTTATGCCAACACAAAAATTTTAATATTATTTAAATTCAAAGGTAAATAAATGGTTTTATAATTAGTCATTTTTGTTAGACTTAACACAGATGTGATATCAGTCTAAACCATTACTTTTTTACCTTGAGAAATGAGATAGTAAATAATTGTTTTTTATAGGGTTTTTTTATAACCTCTAAGACAATCGATAAAATAATTTTATGAATGAGCTCACGTATCGTTTTTAAAACGTATTTTTGATTATCATTTAACTCAAGATACATCGAATAAAATGTTTGTTTACACAGTGCATGTCTATAAGTGGTACAATTTTAGTTAAAGTATATTTTTTTTTTAGAAATATTAAGTTAATAACAATTTTTTCCTTATGTTATCGTCTTAAATGTTCTCTAAAATTAAAAACTAAGCAATAATTGATGTTCATTCAAAAAGAGGATAATGGTGCTAGCTTCTTAAAAAAATGTTATTGATTTGAGTTTCATGGTCAATTAAACCCATAGCCATGCAGTATCTTTCATTTTGTATATTTAATATTGTGGTAGTTTAAAAAATTCTTTAATTACGTTGCTCTGTGCTTTTAATTTATTAAAAAACTCAAAAAAACCCAATAACCATATTTTTTATGATCTTTAGAAAATACAATATTTTATTTGTCTACATATCAAGACATTTTCTGAAACGTTTTTCCATTTTTTTTAGATCTTCAGGTTATTGTTAAAAATATTGTTTTCTAGAAAATTGACTATTTTCAATGATTTAACTAAAACAAAGGTGTTTATGGTCTTTGGCGATAGTAGTTAGCAAGATAATCAGAAACCTATATATGTCTTGTATAGAAAGTTAAGGGAACAATAAGGGATCCATGAAAATCTGTTTTGATATACTAAGAATATTAGAAGTCTATTAACGTCCGTAAAAATCTATGTAAACTGCTTAGTAGAATTAAATAGTCTGTTTAAGAGCTAGCTTACGAAAAATTAAGCGGTTGGTAAAAGTCCGTCATAGTATGCATTAGGAATCTTGAAGGTCCGTGAACCTGAATAGAAATATTCTTTCAGTATTAATCCTTTCTGGATCCAGGTACTGGACAATTGGATTCGGACTGGATCCATTATACGGATCTAGTCTGGGTCCATTGTGTTCGCAGTTTTGGATCCATTCTGGATCCGTTTTGGCTACAGTACTGGATTACAATATCACGTGACATACCTCGTGATTATCGAACTTCCATATAATGGGAAAGGAATGGATCCAGACTGGATATGTAAGCTGCATGCATTATAAAATTTTATCTTTTTTCATCCTGCATAGTAAAATAATTGACACATAATTGAAATTTAAAAAAATTGTATGAAGAAGTTATGGAACAGGTACACAAATAAAGATCCATCCTTTATGTAACACGTAGGACGTATAATATTATTCAAAAGAAATTTACATTGATGATAATAAATTATCAAAGCCGTTTTTCTTAATTACATACATAAATTATTACAGCCATTTCTTTAAATCTTATACATAAATTTTGGAAGACCCTTTTTCTGGCATATAAATTGTTAAAGCCATTCAGTTTTTAATTAATCTTCACTCATAGGCTCATGTTCATTTTTATTTTGTTCTTCGACAGGTTTGCTATTGTCGTCACTCTAAAAAAATGCATTGTTTATAAGAATACCCAAACCTTTTCTTATGTCACTACTTTTGATCGAAGTTTGCAGGACAGACAGAAATTTTTTCTCGTAGTAGTCTGCAAAAAAATATATAGTACAGTATTTCTTTAATGGTTTTTGATATTTAATAGCACATAAAATTGTGTACATACTTTTATAAAGCTTGTAGAACTCACTTTCACTTAAGACTAGTTTGTCCCCCTTTTTTTGCGCAGTATGAGCTCTTACAACATACTTGGATACGAAGCTTTTGAGTACTCTAGTTAAATTTGTGTGAGATTTTTCAGTGAGAATGATGCAACTATGAAAATACTTAGACTGAAACAAAGATAGAAGCAGTATTATAGCTACTTGTGTTAATAATATAAATTTAAGCAAGAATTTACCAGATCATTTTTCATATTTATATCTGCCTTGAGGGCAGCGTTGAAAGCTTCATAATCCTCAATATTACTCAACGGTAATGAGAGTTTGTATTTTTCTGTAAACGAGGTAAGCGTCACCGCCTCTTCGATAGGAACACCCTGCTGTTGTATAGCTATTCGTAGATTTCTTAATTCCAGAATAACGTCATTGAGTTTCATATCAGCTGTATTGGCTTTTGTAGGCAAAGTTTCTTTGTAAAAAAAACGCTATTTAGGATTTGGAGTTTCATAATGTTCATGTGGATTAAGCTTGAACTCACCCTTACTTGAAGATTAAGTTTCTTTTTGTGATTTCTCAGCATCTAAATGGGACACAGTTTGATGCTATTAAAAAGCTGTAAGATTGAGACAAAATAAGACTATGTATGACATTTACAAAGTACGTACCCCCAAAACATGTTCTTAACAAGGATTCTATTGTTTTCCAGAAACCGTCATCTGAAAAAACATTTAATGATTCGCAAGTATTTTAATTTTATACATTTCTTCCACAAAAATTGTAAGTTACCATTCGAGTTATCTCTGGGAATAACGACAGGCTCTTCGACAGACTTGCATGAAATCTTTTGGTTATTCATTACTACTTCTTGCAGCTTAGGTACCTCAAATAATTTTTCTACAGGTTCAGGCTTTTTTTTTAATGTGCTCTTTGAACTAGAACTTAGTAAGTAACATCAGCCTGCTCGTAGGTGTCTAAAATACTAAAAAAAGTAGACATGTATATATTAAACAGAAATAACAGTCTGCTATGATGGATTTCTCACCATATTCTCCAAAAATTTCGCAAAGATGAGATTCCCATGTCTCTGGTAAAGGACCATTCATTTTTATTAGTTCATTTATAAAATTCAGAGTTTCTCTAGTGAAAGGTGGCTTCTCGTATCGCACAAACAGTCGATCTTGAATAAAATTACAGTAAGAGATTGGTACAATGAATATCAGATTGTTTCGATCTTTTATTTCACTTGTGATCTTTCCCATGACGTATTTGCATTGTGCACTCATCTGTAAATGTGAGATTAATTTATGTGGGGTAGGAATGTTTTGTATGCTTAATCTAAAATTATGAAAAGCAGATTTTCAACGTAGGAAAAGGATACTTAAGTAAGATTTTAGCCTACCTAATATTATATTCAGCGAAAGAGTGAGCCTTAATCGTTGCTTTAAAAAAAAATTTGTTATTTTTTCAACTCAGTACAATGCTATTGCTAAAGCTGTTAAACCTTATGTTCAACTAAGACTGAGATATATTTCGTTTTCTGCTAATGCTGATAAGTATACCTACTTAAATATTGTACCTCCTATTCTACATTTATGTACATATCCATTTACAACCTTTTTTATTTACAACTTGCACACTAAAGATGTATTTACAAATATTTTTCAATTTGAGTCTATAATGAGTGTAAAATTGGCATGACATACACAGTTTTGTCATCATCAGGCAATTCGTACATTGACAGTTTGATCATTTTGCATTTAATATCAGCCAAAGAAATATTCATAATTTTTCACGAAGTAGTAGGTTTTATTTTGTAGATATTTAAGACTGATGAACTTGAACGATAACTAAAAGCATCTCTATTTGTTTCAAGAAGTTTAGCTTCTATTTGAACATTAAAAAATTGTAAATCACTTGATTTATTAAAAAAACATTTAAAAGAAAGTCAACTTTACTTGTATTTACATAATTCCTTTTCATTTGCTTTTATGAGTATTATATGTTTACAATAATATCGAAATTCATAGGTGATATTGCTAAACCGACCAACTCACTGTTCTAAACAAACAGTTAAAATTTACTTGCTTGCAGTATTCTCTCTTTCTATTCTGGCTTCCTCTTTGATATTTTCATGCCAGTCTTCTCTTCTTTTCTGGATTGAATCACCTTTTTTTACCAAACCTTTGGCATAGAAAACTGTCCCGAGACACATTAAAACTGTTGCAGCCATCATGTAGTTTGCTGCCTTGACTCTAGCTTTACTCTTTGCTTGATATATAGCGTCTTCGCTACATTTCAAAGAAATTATGATTATCATAGTGACACTTTTGACTGTACAGCTTGTTTATCAACATTTTTAAACTTTAAAAAAGGCAAAATACTTCAAATATGAAAAATATGGTTTGCTTTGATTTGTCCTCAAATACTTTATAATGTTACTGTGATTTTTTCCAAAATTAAAAAAAAATCGTAAGATAGAAAATGCACTTTGTTCATAAAACATCTCAGCATTAAAAAATATTTTAACGCAATAAGCAAACTTTTGGTAAAGTTAATTACATTTTTTCACAAAAAAAGTATGTGATATGAATGCAACTCACGAGATTAGTTCTGGAACTTGTCCTTTGGGATATCTTTTCACCCAAGTGAGTATCCACCTGTCAAAACCAGTGGTTTTGTACATTGACCTTCCTTTTTTTTAAACAGCACATTGTAAAACATTATTCAACAAATCAATATCCAGTTAATACTATTTATATTTACCAGGCATTGTCCCAGAGGCACCTGTTTGGACATTAGCTTTGGTAGCAGAGTCAGTAGCTTTTGACTCAAAATTTTTTACACTTTGACTTATAAACCGACGATTTCCCACTGACACAAAATATTGAATCAACTTTTTACTCAACATGTTTGCTGGTTAAAAATAAAAAAAAAAACAAAAAAAATATCAAATTAACATCTATATCTGGAACATTAATGAGAAGGTCGTGTGACACTGACTTGTGAGGCAATGTGAGGTCATGATCTTATTGACAAATTGGGATGGAACATACTACAGCGCCTCTAACGGTTATGGATAGGTATATACTTAGGTAATTGAAAAAATAAAGTTTTTTACGATCGTCGATTAAAACCAAAAAGTTTTACTTAATGAGTACCGAGTACTGAGTATAAGTTTAATTTGGAAAAGAAATATAATAAAATAAGTATGTACTTATGGTGAGAAACTGAGCAACTCTATGCGAAGTAAGCAGTCTGCAGCGTGTTTTAAAAAAATTTTTTTTATCACTCATTGATGCAGCTTACAGCCACTTTGTTTTATTTTAAGTACTTAAGTAAAAACAGAATCATACATCGTGTAATTTTTAAGTTATTCAAGTTTTTCCATCATATTNATATAAGATTATTATAGTAAAAAAAAAGTAATAGTAATTATCACAAAATTAGTTTTATGTAAAAATTTGTTCTTACAAACTTATCTCAAAAAGTGCCTAGTCATATATTTTGTTAAAAGTGTGAGAAGTACTTATAATTAAATCTCAAATGTTTATTTAATTACATACAAATATTTTTTTACTTTTTCCTGTTCAGTAGATTCCATAGAACAGAGGTCCAAATTCTAAACAGGGTCCATAATAAGGTGGTCCACATTATGGACAGGGTCCATAATTAGGGAGTCCACATTATGGGCAGGGTCCGTAATAGGGGGGTCCACGATAGGTTCAAAGTCCATCGAGGGGGTCTGTAATACGGACAAAATTTTTTTTTTCTTGTTGTTTTATCATTAAAATAAAAATAACAAAACTTTTTGATAAAAAAAAAATTTGATGTTGTTAAAAAAGAATCAAACGACTTATACGTTATTATACAAGGTGTAGTTCTATTGACCGTTAGACACAAAATAAAGTTGAGCTCGAAATTTTTCTTAAAGTGTCCATAATTGGTACAGATACCCTAGCTCTTTAAAAGTCATCCGGAATTTGATTACTCAAATTTGCTAAAACTGCTGAGATTTGTAGTATGCTCTGTCGATTTAATTTTACGTATTCACTTGATATCCAGTAGTTAAGCAATTTTTTCATTACACCTAGGCATCCTACATGCATAAAATCAAGCATAAAATGGTTCACCATATCTATTGTTGGCAATGTTTTAAAGGTGAATCTCCTAGATGATGTTCACTGTTTGTTTTGTCAACAAAAGTTCGATGTGTCTTTAAAGGGCTATCTATTTCTGAGAAAGTTACCCTATTATTAACCCACTTTAAATTTATTAAAAAAAAGACCACACTGCTTGGTTTTCCCTTTGATTCGCATATAGCTACTGAAACAGGTTTGTATACTTGAGGCTGCATGTATACCTTTACAAGTATTGGCCAAAATTCTATTGTGCTTGATCGAAATAATGGCAAACCGTAAATATTAAAGAGCAATTTTAAAGTTGATTCTTTGTGTAATTCAGGCTTAATTAAACTTTTCCACTGGTTTTCAATTCCTAGGTATGCTAGCTTACATAGACTGTGATTAAAATTTTTAGTATTTGTCATATCAAATTTTTTTTTTTTTTATTTAAATAAAGTTTTGTGTGACAACGGCAATATAGGTACAATATTTTTCAACTCTTTTAGTAAGAAATCTATGTGATTATTCAGAACTTTAAAATTTTCAATGTATTTTGTCAAAATCAAAACAATTTTACTCTTTCTGAACTTGCTTATATTAATTGTACCATCCTTTAGTGCATCCTTTTCTTTGATTTTAGTTTGATCATTTACTTCCATGCAATGATCGAGTACTACACCATGGTTGACAATAAAATAATAAGTCTGGCGATTCCAAAAACGATTTTTTTTTAACAAAGTCACTTTTGTCACTAGTGCAACTCATGTCTGGCATAGATGTTTGAATAGAACACGGGTCATCAAGGGGAAAACTTATTAGATTCCTGAACTTTTAATTAAACAACTTTCTCATTTTCATTTTTTTGTAAACACTATTTCTTACATTTTGATGAAGATTTGTTTTGCATTTTCCGGATAAAATAACCTTATCACTTTCTTTGCCTTTTAACACTGAATTATTGTTACTCTGAAATTTCAAACGCCTTTTTTTCCTTCAGTACTTTATTCGAATGGCACTTACGGCAATGCGCTTTTGCGATATTTTTTAAAAATAATGATTGGGTCTCAATTTTTTTATTACATTACTTTATACAAATGAATTAAAGTAAATATCAAAGCAGACAGCTGTACCCTGCATAGGTATGTCACGTGATGTAATCCAGTACCGTAGCCAAAACGGATCCAGAATGGATCCAAAACTGCAAACACAATGGACCCAGACTATATCCGTATAATGGATCCAGTCCGGATCCAATCGTCCATATACCGTAACTCAGTTTCTATTGGGGAATGTCCGTAATAGTCTATATGGATTGCTCAGAACAAAGTAAACAATCCGTTGAGGTCTGATTAGACATATTAAGAAACTTCAAAATCCGTGAACGTCTACGAAAGTCCGTATAGACAGCTCAAAAAAAAAGTTAGCGGTGGTAAAAGTCCGTGTGAGTCCATTTGGACGTATTAAGAATCTTTAAAGTGTATAAACGTCCGTAACTGTCTATGTGGACTGCTCAGAAGAATGCAAGTGGTCCGTTTGAGTTTTTACGGACAGCTTAGGAGAAAGTAAGCGGTGTGTAACATTTTTTTTTAGTACATACGGGTACAGTAAGAATCTTAAAAGTCTTTGAACATCTATGAGTGTCCGTAACATCTTATATGGACTGCTTAGAAAAAAATAAACAGACCGTTTAGATATATTAAAAAACTTGGAAGTACATGAATGGTAATAAAAGTTCGCATAGACTGTTGATGAGGAATCAAGCGTTCCGTAAAAGCTACTTTAAGTCAACATGGATATATTTTAAGTCCGTGACTTTTCGTAACAGCTTATATGGGCTGCTCAGGAAAAGAAAGCGGTCCGCTTCAGTCTGTTTGGATAAATTTAGAATCGGGGAAGTCCGTGAGTGTTCGTAAAAATTTGTTCCTCGATACTCTGTGAATTTGGTATTATTATCAATACCTATCATAAGTTATCGATGCAGTATCGATACATCGAATAGTATTAGGAAACCCTAGCTCTATAACGTTACTGCGCATCTTGTCACTGACCCCTAATTCACGACATATTCGTGTGTATTAAAATTTATCATTTCAATACTTCAGTTTGTAATCCTTTTTTTATTTTTATTCCAGTACAGTGATTTTATTTTGCAAATATTGTGATTTAAAATTTTCAAATAAGAAACAATTAGTAGTACATAACAAAATTTATACGTAAAAGTTTACTCATGCAGAGTATGTATACAAGTTATTTATCTCTACAAACATTAAAAGACATGTTTTGGGAACATTTAACTGGCAAAACTATTAAATGTCATTTTTATAAACAATTTTTCAAAGAAAATTAATATTTAATTACATACATCGTCAAACATCAAAATATCGTTTAAAAAAATATGTAATGCCGTGGCAAAAGATTTTTAAGTAGTGACGTGTAAAAAACGCATAAGAAATGACATCAACATTACCTGTAAACTATGAATGTAAAATATGTGTGAAATGAGGCCCCGTTTTATCATTCTAGGTGACATATAGATCAACTTTATCCTTCTCTTCCTTTCCTTTTATTTTCTATCCTTTGGCATTTACGAAACTACACATCAGACTAATATTTAAATTTGCAATCCAACGCACACATCATCTAAGCCCCAATTTCTCTTTCATTCCTCTTTTTCTTCTCTCTTCGGCAATTACGAAAATAACAAGCAGATCTAGTTTTACTTTGAAAGGGTCTTGTCAACTTATCAAATTGTTAATAAATTAGATTTAAAAAAAACAGAATTAAAATAAANTATATATACACACACGCTCGTATTTGTGTGTGTGTGCGCGCGCGTGTGTGTGTGTGTGCTTGTGCGCGATCTTCCAAGCAGTTCTTCGTAATAACGTTTGTTACTCCTCCTGTAAATACACTTGTAAATACATTTGGAATTGTACGTATGTATATAACAGTAAAATTCCAAATGTATTCACAAGTGTATATATACATATATCTTCCTATATTATATAGTCGTAAGAGTGAAAGGGAGGTTTTGCTCCCCCCCGCTCCCCTCCCAGCTCCCCCCCAAATAAGGTAGTTATTCTTTCATTTTCTTGCATTTTTCGAGTAATCCTACTTTTTTGATAGCTCCCCCCGCTCCCCCCAGCTTCCCCATACATAATGTGAATATATTCGTAAAGCCTTATAAATTAACTGTTACAAGTGGTCTAATTTTCACATATAATTTTATTTGACCATAACAAAAAATGTTGTTACAATTATCTTACTTACGATGTTTATTTTGATTACATACTCTAAAACATATTTTTAGGTGCTCTGCTCTTACATAACCTTTTCCATAATTTTGACAAATATTTTTTAGAACGTTTTTTTTCATGACTTTTCAAATGTCTCTGTAAGTGATAATTTCTTTTGAAACTTTTTTCGCATTTGATACACTTAAAATTTTTTTCAATGTTTAGAAATTCCTTTGTGTGACGCAAATAGTTTTTCTTGTCTAATATTATACTGCTACACAAGTCACATACAAAAAATTTTTTTTGTGAATTTTTTCGTGCATTGATAGACACTCTTGATTTGAAAATTTTGAGTTACATTTGTCACACTGATAAAATTTTGCATCTATGATGGTGTATCTAAAAACATATTACAAAAAACGTATTGTTTATGATTACATAAATCTGGGTACTAGACGGTACTGAAATTTGCTTTTTGATAAAAGAGAAAATTTGCAAGAACGTATAAAAATAGTAATGAACTATAGAATAGTTTTTTTGTTACTCTAAAATTTCATTTCAAACAATATTTTTAATTTTAAATTTGTTTTCTGATCCAATTTGGATAAAAATTTTTTTTGGTTTCTACATCTAGACAATGCAACATATAATTGCCCATAAAAAAA